ATAAAATTCTGCGTTAGTCCTTTGCAGAGACATTTCGATGGTTACTGTCCGGCAGCTCTCACGAAAATGCTCACGGGTCAAATATAGTTTTCTTTTCAAAAACCACTCTGCCTTTACCCACCCCATGGCTCGATATTTTAACAGAAGTGTGCATATTGATTGAACGACTTCTCCGAGTCTGATTGGCATCTTTAAACGTCCGCACGTATTTTTCAAAATAATCAATTATACGACAGCCGATAGCTGCGAGACTCGAATTCACCTGAATCGCCCATTGTCCCGTTTAGGCTTAACCGTGCAATAAATTGTGCGAAGGCGAACTAACGAAAAGCTAATTACCTTAGATGACCCTTTTTACCAGACATTAAACATTCTGGTATTGCACACGGTTTTCTGTCCACTGGTCACATACCGTTCGTCAATACCTGGCCAGATAGCACGAAAGTACAAAGCAGTCGGTACGAGAAATGAACTGTTTTACGGCTTCGAACGTTGTTTTGTAAAACGGCTGCTGGTACGTGAATAACAGAATGAACCACGCGGTCATCGCGCCGATGTTTATACTGCTTGCTCTCCGAACTCTCTCGAAGCATGTACACAACAGCTGATCGGTAGATACAAAACAAAGGTTCACGATGTTTCGCTTTCGAGAGAGTTCGGAGACGTTGCTCACCGCGGCGGTGAGGTGACGGACGGGGAGAGCATTCTTCGCTAAGATTGCGGTTTCCAAACATTCCGCCCACCTTGTCGAGAAGCGACAAAACGGCAGATGCATTTCCTTGAATAATTTCACTCTGACATACTGTCCGGGGTCGATGTGTCGAGCAGCGGGATGAGCTTCACTGTGGGCCTCGTGAAATTTTCCGAAGCGGTCTTCACGTCAGCAACTCGAGCCTGTGCATCTTGACCCTGGCGACGCGAGCGAGTGGCCATCGTGTTGGGGAGGTCCCTTCGTCCTTAATGAGGCAAAGTTGTCCCTCCTTCAAGCCTCCAATTGCCTTCCACCATTTTAGTCGTGGCGTTAGAGACTGGATGTACTCCTGAGACCATCGAGCCCAGAGGTGGTCACGCATTTGTTGTAGCAAACGCCAGCGAGTGAGCCTATTTGGGGCGACCTTGACTAGCGATGCCTCTGGTATTGCCAATAAGGGCTCACCCACAAGAAAATGGCCCGGGGTTAGCGCCGACGTGTCCTCCGGGTCGTCGGTAATGGGCTGCAGCGGTCTCGAGTTTAAGCAGGCCTCTACCTCTGCTAGCAGCGTCGTCATCTCCTCGTAAGTGAGGGCAGCATCGCCAATAACACGTCGCAAATGGTGCTTGACTGATCTCACTGCTGCCTCCCAAAGTCCGCCGAAGTGGGGCGCTGCGGGGGGGTTGAAAACCCATCTTACCCCCCGGTCTGCAAGGTGCCCGGCTATGCGTCGAGCTTCAGGGCCTGCACTGAGGAACAGAGCGCGTAGCTCTTTATCTGCCCCCACAAAATTTGTCCCGCGGTCGCTGTACATGGTGGCGGGGATTCCGCGACGTGAGACGAAGCGACGAAAGGCTGCGATGAAGGCAATGGCGGTGTAATCGCTGACCACTTCTAAGTGAACGGCCCGCGAACTGAAACAAACAAATATACAAAAGAAACCCTTATATGTACGCTGTCCGCGTCCCTTGGTGGTGCGGAGACGTATTGGGCCCGCGTAGTCTACGCCCGTATGCAAAAAGGGACGACTTGGTGTCACCCTCGAAGATGGTAAAGTCCCCATCAGCGGCTGAGGAGACGCTGCTCTCCAGCGGATGCAGCTGGGACACCGGTGAATCACCCTCTTTACGTTCTGGCGAGAAGCCAGTAGCGCTGTCGTATTGAGGCGAGAGTTGTCTGCGTTCCTGCGTGCAAGGTGCGCCGGTGGTGCGCTTCCACAATGAGCTGGCTTAGGTGGGATTGGGTGGCCAGTATGATCGGATGTTTCTGGTCGGCGTTGAGCAGTGCATGCTTGATGCGTCCTCCAACTCGAAGGATTCCATCCTTATCGATGAACGGAGTCAATTTTCTAAGGGCGCTGCGCCCATGTACCGCCCGCCCTGCGCGGACGTCTTCCAGCTCCCTGGGAAAGGCGATGCGCTGAGTAATGCGTACCCACTGGAGGAGCGCTGCCTCTAACTCCTGGGGTAGTAAGACTAGTGCGTCGGTAGCCACAGTGCTGATCTTCTCGGCAGATCGTCGAGACCTCCAACGCAGAATCCATGCAGTGACCCGCAGAAGTCTGCGTAAGTCGGAAAAACGTGTCAGTTCGGGTGGCTCGACGGTTTCCAGCTTCACTGCATAGCATCTTTTGGATCTTTGTTCAGGCACGTCAGCGTCTTGAAGAGGATCTTCCATCTTCGGCCATGACGCAGATTCACTTCTGAGAAAGGGAGGGCCTTGCCACCACAATGGATGCGTGGCGAGTTCGCGTGGCATCAATCCTCGTGATGCGCAGTCTGCAGGATTTTCAGTGCCAGGTACATGACACCAACGCACGGCGTCGCTCTGCCTCTGTATTTCAGCCACCCTGTTGGCCACAAAGGTAGCCCATTTCGTTGGATGACCACGAATCCATGCCAAAGTAACTGTGGAGTCGGACCAATGGAAGGTAGGCACAGCCTGAAGGCCCAACACCATCTTGACATGTACGGACAACTTGGCCAGTAAAGCTGCGGCGCACAGCTCGAGTCGAGGCAATGAGACTCGTTTGAGCGGAGCCACTCTGGTTTTTGCCTGCACGAGTGACACGGATATCTTCCCATTTTGCACGGTTCTCAAGTAAATGACGGCGCCGTAAGCGCGCTCCGAGGCGTCCGCGAATCCGTGGAGCTCAACATTACCCTCGGGAGTAAAGCCAATAAACCAGCGAGGTATTTTGACCGCTTCCAAGACCGGAAGGTCGTCAAGGATGTTGATCCAGGTGGTTGCTTCAGTGGGAGCTAAGGGAGTGTCCCACTCCAGTTGCTGTAGCCAAGTAGTTTGGATGAGCATCTTCGTCAGAACAACCACTGGCGCCAGCCATCCCAACGGGTCGAACAAACGGGCCACCCGTGACAGCAATGACCTTTTGGTAGGTACGGGATCGGCCATGATTGTGGTTGCCATCATCAGGCAGTCGTCAGAAGGTGACCAACGTACACCCAGCACGGCATGTTCTTCGTGTGGCAAATCTGAAACTCCCGAGGCTGCCAGTCGGTGTGAAGATGGTACTCCCTCGAGCAAATCCGGATGGTTGGCTGCCCATTTCCTCAAGGGGAATCCGCCCGCCATGGACACAGCGGTCAGCTCGCTTTGTAGTTGGCGGCCCGCGGCAAGCGAGGACGCACCGGACAAAATGTCGTCGACGTAGCAGTCGTGTCGCAACGCTGCAGCTCCTGCCGGGAATTTTTCCTCCTCGTCATTGGCCAATTGGTGCAGCACCCGCACAGCCAGGAACGGTGCACAGGCGGTTCCATAAGTGACCGTATTCAACTGGAACTCGCTGACCGTTCCGTTGAGTTCCCACAAAATTCGCTGCAAGTCTCTGTCGTCTGGGTGCACCACGATCTGGCGGTACATCTTCTCAATATCGGCGACAAATGCGTACCGATGGCGCCTCCAACGCAGGATAATGTCTGGCAGTGAAGACATCAAATTTGGTCCTGCAAATAAGCAACTATTTAGACTAATGCCGGTAGATGTGCGTGCGGATCCATTGAAAACAACGCGAAGTTTAACATTTCCCTCGGTGGATTTCAGCACACCATGATGAGGCAGGTAGCAGAGGCGCCCCTCGACTGGACTGGGAGCCGGAGGAGCAGGCGTCATGTGACGCAAGGCAAGGTATTCCTCCATGAATTCCTTATACTTAAGGCGAAAGCCGTCGTCGAGAGCGAATCGACGACTCATTGCACTTAGCATGCGCGCGGCCGCGTGCTTCGTGGAGGCCAGCTGGGGCGTTGGCTGAATGTTGAACGGCAGCCGCACTTGAAAGCGGCCATCGGGCAAGCGTTTGGTGGAGCTCACGAAAAGCTCCTCGCACTTTTGGTCCTCTGCGGTGAACGGCACCTCTGCTCGCGATGGTTCCTCCCACTCCCAGAACCGTTGCAGCACTGACGAGAGGTTGTCATCCTGGGAGCAATGTAGTGTCGTCATGGCTGGCACAGACGGTCCCGTGCGAAGACCTCCGAGAAGGATCCACCCCAGGCTAGTGAATTGAGCGACTGGCTCCTGATCCCGTCCTCGTCTCAGTCCACTCCGCAGAATATGCGCGTAAACGTCCGCGCCCAGGAGCAGCTCCACCGGGTCAGCTGCCAGGTAGTCTGGGTCTGCCAGCTTCAGACCCTGCACGTGGGACCAGGTGCAACGGTCGGTTTTGACTGCTCCGTTGTACCCTGTTAGCCGAGGCAGTACGAGTGCCGAAACGTTCAAGGTGAAGCCCCCTGACCGTGCTGTTATGGAGAGCGAGACTCGGCCTCGTGCGACTCCGGATTGCTGCCCACCAACTCCAAAAATCGTAACGCACGATGGACTCCGTGGCAGTCGTAGGCGCTGCACCAAGGACTCTGCCGCCAATGAAGCCTCTGAACCTGGGTCAATGAGGGCGCGAACTGCTTGCTGCTTGCCTAAACCATCTAAAACCCAAATTCGTACAGTGGCTAAGAGGACGGTGGCGTTCTCCACCGTGGGTAGGGCGGCCACGTGTGCGGATGCTGAGGGCGTCTTCGCGGGCACCGGGGCAGGAGCGAACGCCTCGTGCAACGAGGTGTGATGTCGCTCAGCGCACTTAAGACAGGTCTTGTTGGTGGTACACATACTCACGGCATGGCGTCCGAGGCAGTTGAAACATCGGTTATGTGTGCTCACCAAGTCTTTTCGTTCAAGCGGTGTCCTTTGCGTGTACCGATCGCAGGTGGCGATAAAATGCGGCCCCCCGCACACGGGGCATGCTCGGGAGGCGCTGACTGCTTTGGGACGCGATTGCGCGATGCGGACGCTGCGTCCACCACGAAGGCTCGACTTGACGTATGGTTCGGTGCATTTCTCCCCGGTTGCCTCCTCTGACGTCACCTGTTCCTTGAGAAACGCTTGCAATTGCTCGAATGAAGGAGGCTCCGAAGATTTCAGCAAGGACTTGTCCCACTCCCGACGTGTGACTTGATCGAAAAGATTCACGGCTAGGTGCACGAAAAGATCCTCACTCGACGAAATGGGGCGGCCGATGCCCTCCAGGGCCCCAGCTGTTGTCACGACTCCATGGAAAATCCGCCGCAGGTCCACCATGGAGTTGGGCTTCATCTTGGGAATTGCGAGGAAGGCGTTGAGGTGTGCTCTCACAAGAAGCCGTTTGTTCTCGTAGTGCTCCTTTAGCAAGGTCCAGGCTCGCTGGAAGTTTTCGTCGGTAGTGGGCAAGTTTTTCAGTAGACTCTCAGCCTCACCCGACACACTGGTTTTCAGGTAATGCAGCTTTCGAACGTTCGATAGGGCGGACTCGTCGATAACCAGCGATTGAAACAAGTCGCTGAAAGCTGGCCAATCTTCGAATCGGCCGCTGAATTTGGGCAGCTCAATGCGCGGGAACGAGGGCGACGCCACGGAGGTGGCGGGTGTGTGAGCTACCGATGCAGTTGTGCCAGGTTTGGCCGGATTAAGCTCCGAGCTTGAGGCAAATTGTCGCTCTAACCGTAAAAGCTGTGCTCGCTGAGACGTATATTGCATCTCAGCTGTTCCTAGGAAGTCACCTGTTACGTAATCGTGATCTTTGAGAGCTGCCCTGTAATTGCGCATGAGCTGTGAATGCTGATCCTCTAAGCGGGCCCATTTTTTATCCAGCAACGACAGAGCGGCTCGCACCCCGTCAATCGATATATTTTGTTGGCCAGTTTTCTTCAAATTCTCCCAAGTGCGCGAGATGCGGCCATGAAGTTCATACTGTGATGCAATTAACTCCTCCATGCCGATAACCCTCTTTGTAATGCACTCACTCGCGAAACCGTAGACGACGATGAAAGTCACGAAACGATGAACATCCGGCTCGAAGGACCAGAAATGTCACGGACTGTTGACAACGGCTCAAGCACGTTGACGCGGTGTGAACGCGGAAAAAAAGGTTGACGATTGGTTTAAAGGGACGGAACACGGAACACGCAGAAACAGTCGCACATTACACTTAATTGCTTAGTTTATTGTCCAGAGCACACACACACACGTTCACTTACAAAGATTTTATGCACATACAACGATTCACAAAAGTTAAAGGTCTTAGCAGACTGCAGCAGCGCAGGAAACAAAATGCGAAGCGCATATGATGTAATACTCGCGATAGCACGAAGCGAAGCCGATTCGGAACAATAACAGAATGAACCACGCGGTCATCGCGCCGATGTTTATACTGCTTGCTCTCCGAACTCTCTCGAAGCATGTACACAACAGCTGATCGGTAGATACAAAACAAAGGTTCACGATGTTTCGCTTTCGAGAGAGTTCGGAGACGTTGTTCACCGCGACGGTGAGGTGACGGACGGGGAGAGCATTCTTCGCTAAGATTGCGGTTTCCAAACAGTGCCCCTGATAACATATTAAAAGGACATTATAATCGTCCAAAGTTGATTTCAAAACTTTTCAACAATTTTTCGCTAATATCTTGAAAACTAAAGCTTTCCGCGAAATTTGTATATGAACAAAATTGTTCAGAATCATGTCCGTGATAAGATATTAAAAGCGCACTAAAATCGAGAAAAGTTTATTTCAAAAGTTGCCGGTTGTCTTGCAATAACAACACTTTGCAATTAAAAAATGAAAAATTTTTTGATAATGGTACCAAGGGGAGTCAGAACCTACCAGATGCAAAAGGTTTCATTCCGTTTGGTCCATCCAGCTAGATGTAATCGGCGGACATACATAGAAAAAAAAAAAAATATACTGATCGAATTGAGTAACCTCCTCCTTTATCGAAGTTGGGTAAAAACTATGTGACTCAACCGACTGATCAGGTTGTCTGACTAATTTTGACCACCTAATCTGGTCGATGATTTTTGCTGAACTGCCTGATTAGAAAATATTTGCTTTCTCGTAACCTTTCCTTCCAGTGCGCCCTTAGCGCGCTTCCCTGTGGAAGGGGAAGACGAAAGCCAGAGTGGGCGAAAGTTGGACCCTAGGCGAAACTAAGAGTGCCAAGAAAACTGCTTTTCGTCACCTCTCGAAACCCTTAGTCTCTGCCATAAATTAGGCCGTACTCCAACAATCCTCACGGATGAGATAGGGAGTTGAAACTTGGTGTGAGATGTTTTTTTTTTGGATATGCTACTAATTGGCGAATTGAGTTTCTCATTTGACCCAAGGGCACATTTGACCACCTTATCCGGCTATACCCTTTAGTTAATTTTATAAAAGCGTAGTTAACTTTATCCAAGAAGCAGACTTTGGTACGATTTAACATAAAGTATTAACTAGCGAATTACATTTTGTTAGGTTCATTTTACATTCTCCAATTACGTACTATTTAATTTGTCGAGTTTCCATTATTATTATTAAATCAAAGTCTATTTAGTTTTGTTTTTTGATCAAGCCAATATTTTGTTGTTATTTGTCATTTGTTATCTGTTACATTCATCATTTTCATTGTTTTATTGAATGAACCTAATTGTTTAAAGACATTGACCTGTGGATTTCACTCCTTAACCGCACACCACACGAATCTCACATTCTTTAGATTTAGTTATTTGCAAAAACGAGTCGTTCAGTAGGTAAAAGCCGCTCTTTACCTCACGAGCGCTGTTAACATCTGAACCTAGGTTCCAGAGTCGTTACACACATAAGTTTCATTGAAATCGTTGTGTCCCGGTTCCATATGTTCCCTTGTAAGCTACAAGGTATATATGTATTTTGAATTATGTTTCTTCGACGTTTTGAAGATATTCTGAATTGTTTAAGAAAAACAATTTAGATAATAACTTAAATAGAAATATTGGATATGCAAAAAATGTAATCAGTTATGAATGTTTAATTTTATTTCATAATTATAATAACTTATTAAATAATTTACATAATAAAATGTAAATTTCATGTAAATTTATTTCTTTGACAATAGCAGTTAATTCTAAGCAAAAAAATAATAATAAATAGAGAAGTTTGAGTGATTTTAGTAAATTATATCTTTGTTACTATGAATTATGTTAGTCGCTAGTATAATGGAGTTTATGAAAATAAACTAAACAATTGTAAATGTTTTATGGCATATTTTTCTTTAAGAAATTATAGATTATTCTCAGTAAATTTATTAATTTAGAATAAAAATTAATCTTTTAGATAGGCCATTTAATTCTAAGAAACCGTTTCGGATGTTTTAAAAATTTACTTTGTAGGATGGATTTTTTTTTTGCTTGGATAATTGCAAAGGAATACTCTCAAAGGAATCTGTGGAAATAACAAATAACAATATTTATTCATCTTTGCTTTCATACAACACAACATCAAATTCCAAAATCTGTTAATTAAACAATTATACGCATAAGTACAAAATCAAGACAACGGAGAACGGTTCGGGCGGAAACATCGTTTACGGAGTTTTACAATAATTTTGAACAATTACTACTAGAAGAGTCCGGGAAATTCTTCCGGCCATTCCCTAGAAAGCGACCGGCGGATAATCCAGCCGTTCTCTCCATTCCAAGGGCGGCCAGGATAGAATTACCGTACTCTCCTCGTTAGCAGGCGACCGGCGGCAAGTTCCAGGATCGACTGGGCGACCGGCGGCGAGTTCCAGCTGTTCTCTCCCGAAAGACTCTAAACTAGGCGACCGGCGGCAAGTTCCAGCCGTTCTCTCCTATTTAACACGAACCAGAGAGTATTCTTCCGCTTGCTCCCCCTGGATGGCGACCGGCGGTAAGTTCCATCTGTTCTCTCCAACCCAGGAGAAGAGCAGAAGATGCTCTCTGGATTCCCTCGGGCGTCCGGGTGGTTCCACCGTCCATTCCCTGGTAGGCGACCGGCGGCGAGTTCCTGCCGTCCTCTCCATACCAGGGCGGCCAGTTAAGAGCCCCCGTACTCTCCCGTGACTCTAAAGGGCGACCGTGGTAATTACCTCGTTCTCTCCCAAAAGAGCACATGTCTTTTTTTTTTTTTTTTCTCAAGATGGCGATGAGATATTGAGGTAGGGCAACCACAACCCGAGTTGACAGTTCTCCCTAAGCACGATAGATGGCGGCCTCCTCAGGAGTTGTTCCTGTCAGCCTTAGCCGACTTACCGACAAACATGAAAATAGAAAAATGTCATTAGCGACCTGAGATTAAAAGTACTAATAGTGACCTAAGATGGGGTGTGGAAAATTTGCAAAAAACCACAAAGAAGGAAAGCTAGAATAAGCAGAACGAGATGAACACTCACGGCCAGGGGGAGGGGCCGGTTTGAACGAGCGACACAAGCAGCCTGTGGGAACGGATACAAAATTCACCAGGAAAACATTCCAGAGGAAAATAGACAGAAGAAAATAAAAGAAGCAAGGCAAGAATAAAAAGCTGGGATGATAATTATGTTAAGCATGGTTGGCAAGTTGATTAAACCTATTAATAAGAGGAAATCTATGTTTAATTCTATATGGAATGTTGTGAATATTGAAGTTTTTGAGGTCGCGAATAAGGATATTCTCAGGAACATCAATGTTAAATCCTTCAGACAGGCGCAAGACATATTCGTCTAGGCGAGGAGTGCGAGCCATAGCGCATAGGTCAGCTGTTCTAATTACGAATGGGAATTTAGGAATATTCAAGATAAATTTAATAATTTTGTTTTGCACACGCTGAACCAGAAGCTTGCGCGAGTCTGAAACACAATCCCACCAGACCACGGACCCGTACGTGAGCATGGGTCGGATGCACATGCGGTACAAGACCAACCTGATGTTAGAGTTCAAGTTCGAAGATCTAGCGATGTGTGGCTTAAGTGCTCCGAAAGCCTTCCAGGTTTTGGCTATACGGTCGTCAATGGCCGGGATCCAGTTGAGTCTGTTATCGAGTATGACTCCAAGGTATTTCACCGAATTGGACCACTTAATCGAGATGCCGTTCACCTTAAGGGTGGTGCAAACGGACTCACGCTTCCTGGAAAAAACAATCGCCTCAGTTTTATCGGCGTTGAGAGAGAGTTTCCATTTTGCAAAGAATTCAGTAATGAGGTCGAGGTAAGATTGAACGCGAAGACAAGCCACATGCACCTTGGAGGAAGAAGTGAGTAACGCGGTATC